CTAGTAAAATAGGCATAAAAAGGCCTCTGGCTCCAGGGCATTGGAGTAAACACTGCATCAAGCCCAGCCCTGTGGAGGGCAGGTCCCTGAGCAGCTCGAGGCTGAGACACCCGGCTTGCCATTGTGTGGTGTGTCCTTTCAGACTCCTCAGACAGGGCATCACAGTTAGGGAGGGAGCAGAGGGACAGACCCCAGCAGGACCCCTCAGAGAACTTCGGGAGTCACACTGTGCACCCTGGGCAGCGGATGGCCAGGGCGCTCATCTGCCCCAGGGCTCCCAGAACGGCTGTGTGTGACAGCCAGCCCTTGTCTGTGACTGAGGCTGCACTTCCCAGCTTCCTGTCATGATAGATGACACGTGGCCCACAGCGGGATGGAAAATTTTTCAGAGCCTTAATTGATTTGAAAGGACAGCGCAGGGTCTCTGAACACAGGGAACTAGCCTGAAGCAGGTTGGCGCTTGGGGCAGAGGGAAAGGAAGAGTCCTGACCCCACCCTGAGTCACCCCATGCCGGGCACCCCACATCCCAGATTCTGGGCTCCCCCGGGGCCCTCGCACAGGGCTGGCCTGACACAGAACTGCCAACCCTGGTTCTGGGGAGCCAACTGCAGCACACATCTTACAGGAGGTGACCACACTAGGAAAGCAGCGGGCACCACCGCTATCGCAACCGCAAGAAAAGGAGGTTAGGCAGCCAGGTGAGGTGCTGGTGCAGAGATCCGCCACCAGGGGGCAGCAAGAGGCCAAGGACAGGGTCTCTGGGACTGCTTGGTTCCGCTGCTCGCTAGCTGGGAGAGCCACACTTCGGTGGTTCCCGCGGGGAGCCTCGGTCTCCGCAGCTGGACCAGTCGTGGGGACGTTGCATGGACAGGCATATGTATGGCTCCTCTAGAACTGAGCTGGTTTAACTGCACCAGTTTTCCCCCTAAGAATAAGCCTCCAGGAAGGCTGAGACCATACATGTGATTATTTGTGGGTCTTTTCTGCATTAGAGCGCAAGAATCAGGCTGAGAGCTGGGACGAGGAACTGGACTGTGTGGTTCACCCTGCCTTGACCACTTGGATCTGCCTCGAAATTTAATCTCTGGCATGTTCCCTTCATCTTCCAGTGCTTGCAGAAGTACCTGCCTACCATATGTCCTAGCCAGAGTCTGTAATGCCAGGCACCAAAGAAACAACCCCTCCCTTTCAGGAGCTCAAAACACCGTTTAAGTCTATTCCTTACTGCCATCCCAGGCAATGTGAGCAGGCTGTGCGCGCTGGTGGGGCCGCTGCTGTCCGCGGGCCGGGTTCCCCGTCTGGCCAGCAGGGGGAGCAGGAGGACTGCTTGGTCAGTGAACCGACTATCTGAAGTGGCCGCGCTTCTGCCCAAGTTTGCTGGCCTAAACTGGTCTCAGGGCCCCACCTGGACGCAAAGGGCCTGAAAAGTGTGCTCAAAGGAAAGCAAAGAAGCTGAGCTCACTCACTGCCTTTTCTCTCTTTCCTCTCTTGCGGGGAAAGAACCATAGGAAAACAATGCACACTGTTTAGAGGGACCAGATTTGGGATCTGGGAGCCTAGGGCACGCTGTCAGTGCACACCCGCCCCGCCCCCCAACACCGTGCAGGAGGGAGTCTGCGCATTTAGTCCAGGGAACCGGTCCCAGCTGAGCTCAGCACAGCCCTCTGGGACCAGCACCCCCTCCCCACTTCAGCTCTGTGCAGAAACAGAGTACAAATATTGTTCTTTTTGTTTCCTTTTCCCTTTGGATGTATTTTTAATTACAAAAATAGAACTGGATTGTTGTACCCAGACAATGTTTGCTTACTTCCAGGCCCCTTGGAGTTGAAGGTTGGGTTTCTTGTTGATGCCCAGCCCCCAGCTCCTGAAGGTCTCTGTCCAGGTGTGTTCCTGGCTCAGGTGGGGGGGGGGAGGTTCAATTCTTCATAGTATTCCGAGTCACAGATCTAGAGAAGGCCACCTGCCCTGCACTGAGGGCGAGAGGGGAGAGACCGCGGCACCTGATAATGATCCCATAATTAAACTGGCAAGGTAGAAAAAAGGAAGCGAGAGTGGAAGCCAAACCAGAGAGTGGGGAGGGAGGGTGTCCCAGTCCTGCTCCTTCCCAGCTGTGTGGCCTCTGCACCAACCTAGACACTACCTAGGCATTTTAATGCTTCTCCCATAAAACAGAGTGGTAGCAGCTCCATCCCATCGGGCGCATCCTGAGGGCTGGGCTTGCGGGGGCTGCAACAACCAGTGCAGCAGGTGGTGTTAGCTGTGGGCTGAGGCATGTCTTCCTCAGCCTGCCCTCCTGGACACCTGAAGCCTGCATATCTAGACCTTTCAGGAGACTCTGGGGCCACGTGATCACTACCCAGGGTGGCTCTGTACTCTGGGTTTCCAGGGGGCTGGCATTGCTTTAGCATGGGATGTAACAAGGCCCTGTTTCCTTCTGACCCCAGGCCAGTTCACACCAGCCCTGCTCCAGGGCTTCATGGGCTCTTTGGAAAGCCATCATCCTGGTCTATTTTCCTGAAGATAAAAAATTGTGACAGCTGTGCTTTCAGAAAATTTGGAATATACGGAGAAAAAAAGAAATTCATACAAGTCAGTACCTTTGGTCCCAACCAGGAGCCAAAAATGGCACTTCACCCTGTTCCTCACCTGTCCTGTTCATTTCACCTTCTTTGTTCAGAGAGCTGGGAAGGTCCCCTGTGGCCCCACTTTCTAGCTAGCACTTCCTGGGGAGTCCTGCAAGCACCCTACACCGGGAGAGGCTGGGGTGGACGGGCCTCACTTTCTCTCCCTCCAGAGGGAGGCCTCTCTGCCAGGCCCTGAAAGCTGTGCAAGACCCTCTTAGAGGACTGGCAGTCCTGGTCCCTAACCCCACCCCGGGGGAGTTCCTGGCGTGGAGGCGGGTGGGGGGCCTTGCACCAGGACAGGCAGCAAAAAGTTATAGTTTCCCTGGGACCTGTGCCGTGCGGACAGGGGCCACCGGTTTCGAGTGTTTGTGTCTCTCTCTGCCCCCAGGCTACACCAAGAAGAGGGCGGTGGGGGAAGGGCAGGGTCCTTCGCAGGCCTTTCTCCTATGACCTCAGGCAGATTCTTCCCTTTCGGCAGCCAAACAGCTTGCAGGCAGCCTAGAGGGCAGAACCCGGACTTGGAGTGGCCTGGCCCAAGCCCGAGGGGGTTGGGCACCTGGTCGGTGAGAGGACGGGCGGTCGCAGCGCAGGATGGGCTCGGCCCGTCTCCCGACCACTGGGCAGGTGGGCTCAAGGATTTGGCTCCGGGGAGCTGATGCTTGTTCCCAAGGTGTTCCCCAGTGGCCCCTCGGGGAAAGAGTTGAGCTAACCTCTGTTCCCTCCTCCCCGCTCGAGACCCGAGAGCGGGCAGGTGTGCTCCGGCCCCAGGTGCGCGGATCCCTCGTGGGCAGGATGCAAGCGCGGGCGCTGCCTGAGACCCCACTCGGGCCAGGGACGAGCTGCAGCGGCGGGTTAAAGCCCAGTCAGCTGGTGCAAGGGGCCCAACGGAGAACAGTGGGGGCTGGCCGGACGCCGGGTCCGCCGAGGGCCTTGCCCATCGCGCTCGCCAAGGGGGCGCCCGCGCCGCGCCGCGCAG